ATTTAAAACTTTTATAACATATAACTTATTCAAAACGTTTACAGAACTATTCAGAGCTTATACAATTCAAATCTTTTAAATACATACCAACTACTCTTTTATACCATAAAATACATTTAAATCATATATTTTTTGATCTTAAACTTTGTAAGGAAAAATACTGACCTGACTTGCACCTCAACAATCCATAAGCTTGTAAGAACCTGCGTGTGAAACACTCACACGCTAAGTCTATGACTTAGTGAGATGAATAAATATATAATGTAAACTCTAACTTGTAATCATGCAGGAACAACTATTAATATCATATCATACACATCATATCAAATCATCTCACTCATATGTTTTTCATATAACAATTACATATATATCATCATTTATGTTTTTATCCTGCTCCTATACTATTATACTTCATATCTCTTATTTCTTATTCATATGATCTCTTACATTCATATTCTATAACTTATAACAAATTCTTATATTATCATATATAAGTCATTTATACTCTCTCACTTATACATCAACATATATTCATGTAACAGATACAATAACCCATATCACACATATATCATATCATGAAATTCATATACATATATTACATACATTGATTTCACAATTATCTCTTTATTAGCCCATGTACACATGTGAGAACTATAAATATGTGAGTCTATTGAGGTTGTGCATTATGTTGTCACCACAGCTCGTATAATTCCCACTAGGGGCGCGTAGAATTTATCCCGTAGGACTACTATGTCCCGAAGGACCACTATGTCCCGAAGGACCACATATCACATATGTCCCGAAGGACCACTATGTCTCGAAGGACCACATAAACCCTCGACTCTTGGCATGCCAACTATACCTCTAGCTCTCCTAACACTTACATGTGCATTCTCTTTTATATCGTTTCACATAGTCATATCTCATATGCTCATAGCTTTTTATCATATCATTTCTCATATTCATATAATAATATGATTCACTTTCAAGTATCACATATACACATTCATATCACATGTTCATATAAACTCATAACTTCTTTCACATGTACCTGTAATCAGGTAGCTTCTTTTCACGTAGTTCATGTCACTTTTCGTATCATTCATTTATCACATGCATAATCTCTATTATATATACATTTCTTGACTTATCTCATAGTTATGTATCATATTACATAATTTAACTTATATCATATTATCATGTGTGCATATATCATGGAAACTTAACATGTATCATATAAACATTTATTCACTCATATCATTAACATATGTAACAATGAATAACACACACATAACATATCAAACATATGCTCATATTAATGAATTCATGCATTCTACTATAGGAAATAGACTTGTCACAACTCTTATTTCCATTAAACATAATACACTAACTAATGTGCACTCACCTTGGCCTCACTACGTTCCAATCCACTTTATGATTTCCTCTCTTTCGATCGAATCTTAACTTGACAATCAACTCGGACTTGTTCGTGATCGATATCTATATAATCATACATTGATACATATCAGTATCCAATTGATATACTTTAGTCTATCATTTCATAAAATGAATAATGATATATTCCATTTCCCATTGAAGTGCATCGGTACATACTACAGTGCATCGATGCATCCCTTAACAGGTGCATCGATGCACTACTCATGCATAGGTACACTATATACATTCAATGTTTTATTATTAAGGAGGTGCATCGATGCACTAATTGCATTCGATGTTTCTTCTTTAAAGGGTTCATCGATACACCTTACCCAGAAATTGCGTTTTAAGCCCGAAAATCCATTTAATTCAACTCAAATGCTTCATATTTCATCCCCTTTCATATTCCTAACTTACATATACATATTTGCACTCATTTCTACTCAATAATCACTTCTTTAACCTTCATATCCTATTCTCCTTAAGAAATTCAAGAATCATACCCAAATTTTAACATGTTACAAATCCAATTCTAACACTTCATACATGTTAATTAGATTGATGACAAGTCAAATTCACTCTAAAACCTCATTAAAGAACCCTCTTTCAAAGATTTCACTTATTCCTCTCTTTTCTTTAATTCCCTCTATTCTCTTCATCTTATTGTTTCAAGATAATTTAAGCTCTCCTTAAGCTTAAATATCACCTAATAATCAAAACTCAACCTTAAATTTTAGCTAATAATCAACAACAATAAATCTTACCTTTGCTTGAGCTTTCACGTGGAGGAGGAAGAAGAAGGGAGAAGAGTTTTACAGATAACTCTCCCCACAAGCTTATCTCTTAATAAAGAGATAAGATAATTTTCTTTAGATAACAAAGACCATTTTACCCTTAATCTCCTTTAAAAATTACTAATAACTTTCAGGAAATATCTCCACATAAATCATTGAACTATTCAACTTTTCTTCTTTTATCCCTAAATTCTGAAATTTTACAATTTAGTAACTAACCTGTTATTGAGGATGTTACATATACATATTAATAGAAATTACAACAGAAATGAAGCTTAATTGCAAATAACGGATTGAATCGGGAGGTTAATAAGTGAACAACAACTTACTGGTTCAAATTTGATGAAACGGACTTCGGATTCGAATTAGAATTAGAATGTCGAAAAATATAAAATATGACTTTTCAGAAAATTTAACTTTTTGATCAAAGTCAACGTGGGTCAAAGTCAACGGGTTGACTCAATCGTGTTGACTCAACAGGTTGACTCAATCGTGTTGACTCAACGGGTTGACTCAATTGTGTTGACTCAACGAGTTGACTTAGCCCCACACGCACTGTCGGCATGTGGCAGCGCTTGCGGCGGCGAAGAAGGTCATTGAGGATGGTCGATCACTCTATAAGCTGCAGCTTAACAATTCTAATCTAATTAACTCAAAATCAACCCAATATCTCGATGAAAAATTGAAAATGAGGCGGCTGAAAGTCTTACCCACAACGAACGACATTGGCACAACAACAGGGGACCAAAACTCTTGGATTTCAATCGTACGATGTCGGGGAAGCCAATGGGAGTGGCGGTGAGATGAGACAGTCACCAGATCAGCCGAAAAACTTGAAAAACTGAGACGACGGGGGTGGGTTTCTATAAAGCTTTTCTGATTTCCGGAGCAATGAGGCTCAGATTTTGGTCGTCGATCGATGACGAGTCGGATGAGGGTGATGGTGCGCTCAACGTCGGTCGGTGATGGATTTACTGGAGGCGGGAAGTGACGTGTTGAAGCTAGGGTTGGGAAATTGGGGATTTTGGGGTTTTAAATTTGGAAAAGGGGGATTGGTTTTGGGTTATAACTCGAGCCTTAAACGAATAAAACATATTTTATTTATTTTAATCATTAATAGGCCCTAGCCTAGTTGGCTAAGGCATGGGTGGCCATAACCTTAATGTCTCGAGTTCAAACCTTCCAAATTGTTTTTTCCAGCTTAAAGGAATGAGAAAATTAAAGGTTGAGTTCCTGAACTTTCTGAAAATTTATAAACTATCATAAAATCTTGAGAATCTTACGGCTTGGCCCCTCAAAATTTTGCCTGAACTTCCGTGTGTTACATTAGTTTTTCAATATCACCGCAAACACGCTTGAGAAGCATTGTTATTGCATGAAAAAGATCGAGATGGCAGCTAGCACAGATTTGACCTAGATTTAGTGTGATCAGTATAGATTTGATGAAAATTGATATTTTAAAAAACCAACAGGTATGATAGTATTGATGGATAATTATAATAAATATATTTTGATTTTTAAATAAAATAGATTAATATAAAATATTAACAAACCTAACCTAATTCAAAAGACTTTGAACAGGATATATAATGAATTTTGTGAATTATTTGTGATAGAAGGATTAGGTATTAATATACATAAAAAAAGTTCCAATAAGAAACGTGCTTTGATATTAATATTGACTGAGATTATAACCATTGTGATAGTGGATAAGCATCAAAATTATAATTTGTGATGATTTTATTTATTATGATATTTTAGTGTGATTGCGAAAATTAATGTGTGGCAGGCTGGAAGCTTGCATATTAAAGAATCGATATATATATTATATATATATATATATATATATATATATATATATATATAAGGTCTAAATCATATAATTTTTAAAATTAAAATTTTTTAAAAAAATATTATAATGACAATTCAACATTTACAAGTTAACTTCAGAACTATCTGATAACACATAATATTAAAGTATATTAAAATAAATATGTTAGATCTTATTTGATAGTTTGTTGATAAAAATTAATCAATTAAAATTAAAATTTTAATTATTTAATATAAAATCCATATATAATTATTTTATACGAAAATTGTAAATAATAAGTTTTTAATGAGCTACTTAACTTAGTTTAAGTTACATTTAATAATTTTTATTTCTTTCAATGTTATATTGTATCTAAAAGTTATATTTATCAAATCATTCGAATATATTTAATATTTTAACTTTAAATATTATATCAGATAATTTTATACATAAATTCAATACTTAATTTTCAACATTTGTTTTTTCAATTTATCATATAATACCTAAATCTTCTACTATCATTACAGCCTCTTCTCAAATTTTCAAAAATAATTTAGATTTTTTTAGAGTCCAAACCTTAGTCATAAAATATTCCACTGGTAAGGTCTTGGGGCACCTTCATAAAATATTTTATTTTTGAATGTATATTTATATTAAAATATTTAGAGTTAAAATTAAAAGAGATAAACATGAACTAAGTGATTATAGTGATTTAGAGACTTGTTATTATCTCGTAATCTTTAATCCATCACTCAACTGTTATCATATTTTCTGATTTAACATAAAAAATTTGTTCATACTTATTTGTTTAACTTAATAAAAGAACATTATACGAACAGTTCACAAACAGTTCATAACGTGATTTGTTTATTTACATCCCTACATCATATTCAATTATTAGTTGAGATATTATATCAAAACCCATCTATTGCATCCTATTCTGTATCATTACATACGAATTGAAATAAGATTACGGCTCGATTTTAGGTTTACAGAATATAATGGAACAACGTACTTACTGATGGGTTCCCGTATACAGAAACTGGAAAGCAGAGAGATAAAGTTGTTGAAGGCATAGGTTCAGTAATCAGGGTCCAAGCCCTTGGAGCCAGGGATATCAACCCACTCCAGTTGGATCAACACTTCCCCACTCTCAACATTATTGAGTTTGAGACGCATCTTTTGAGTGATCCTGCCATCCTCCAAAATGATGCAGCTCTCATCAGCCAGGTCGTTTTTCTCCGATGGTTGTAGTTTCTTGAGTGCAACGCCGTTGGGGAGTTCTCCCAAACTCTTCCTCAACCTCACTGCTTCTACGTACGGCTGAATGTCGATCTCCGCAGTTCCCATGGAATCATCATCACTGAACGTGTCTTTGTCGTACACAGTCTGCAAATCCCGATGTAAGTTGTAGTGTATGCAGACAAACTGCAGGTTTGGTGCCATGGAATCAGATATTACTTACTAAACTGATTGGAGCGTTAAGATCTTTGATTGGGAGAGTTAATTCATCGTTCCACTCCGGATTGCAGTTTTTCTTCAGAAAGCGGGTTTTCACTTTCTGCAACATTTATTGTCAGAGAAATCAGCACATGATCAACAACTGTTTAGAGCTTCTTTTTTATGAAATCAGTACAGTTTGTTTAAGCCCTTCCCATTCCCTATTTAGTTTGGTCACGGTATACATGATAATGTTAACCTCATAGGACAATGTCCATATCAAGAATTATATCAATCATGATAATTTTATTTCTAAGAAAATGATTCTTCCACAACACTATTAAACTTTATCTCAGAACCTAAGCTCTGTATCAACAAAAATCATCCATCTAAGGTTCTCTTAGCATGGATTCAAATCGCGGTCGCGGTCACGTTTACCGCGATTGCGGTCATAACAGGCGTTATTGCTGCCATAGTAAATATATAAGAATGAAGCACTACCGCTATTTTGCAGGCGCTATCGCGATTGCGGACCATTATTTAAAACCCTGCGTCTTAGGACTCATACAAATCGCTATCGGATACTTCCAAGCATGTTATCATTACTGTAATCAACCATATATTGACAACATATGCTTTAAGTGAACCCATCTGGGAAACTAAACTCTAGACTCTGTATGTTGAAAGGTCCAAAGAATTTTGTTTCAAAAAAGGATAAAAAACTTTGGGACCCTTTTAAGAATAAATTATGACATAAAGCAGATGAAATTTCTCAAAAGAGTTTAATGGGTGAGATGAGGAAACACAACAAACCTGTCCAGCCGTGGTGATGACAACGTAAGGATCACTGGCACCCGTGACCTTATCAAGAACAGAAAGATTGAAGCCTCTTAGGACCTTGATTCTGAGAAGTCCCAAAGCATCCATTGCAACAAAACACAGTAGCTTTCAATCAAAACAAAGGGCTTCTTTTACTTGGTCTCTCCTGGAAAAATAGGAATAAAGCCCTATGAAATCGAGCATGGTCCCTCACAGACGAATATTTAATTACCACTATTGATAGACCCAGCCTTGGGTGCAACGTGTTGTGGTTCAGGCACTTTCACGATTAACAGGAAAAAAATGCATAGTCAAAGAGCATCTAAATTTTATAGAGACGAGTGGTTCACCGCTACCCTTGGTTCTGCTCTTGGTTCTTGGTTTTGTTATTTTTGAAAGTTTGTTATATATATATATATATATATATATATATAGATATATATATATATATCTATATATATATATAAAAGATCTATTATCCAATATAAAATTTAAAGTATTTTATATTAATTTAACACTATTCGATGATTATAAATTTATGATTAAAATTATTTATTTTTTATTTTATAAAAATCTTATCATTTTAACTATCACCAATCAATTTATATGTTATATTTTAATCTAAATTATAATGGATAATTAAGTTAAATTTTGATGTAATTCTAGTGATTAAATTTTTGTTGATATTTAAATTTATTTAATAAAACACTAATTTTAGGAAAAGGGGTCTTATAGAATAAGATTTCTTAGTGACCAATTTTTAAAATTAGGAGAGAATTATATTGGAGAGATATAATAATTTTGTAGTTTATGTAACTTCTAGAATTTATATTGCATGGATAAATTTTGTAGAATATTAGAAGAATAATTTAGGATACTCTAGGTTTTGATATAAATGTTGAGTTTTAGAATACATGTATTTTTACATTTAATAATCTCTACGTTTATAATATATTATTATTCTTCTCATCTGTTGAGAGATACTATTGAACCACTTTAAATTGTATTTCTTGTGTAATTCTTATTTTACTTTAATTATTTTTTCGGTTATAAATATTGAATATCATAACCATATATGACAATGACCACAACAGATGCTACACTTTGTGGATGAATAGGGAACAATTTGAAATAATTTCATCCCGCAGTAATAGGGGAGGGTGACCATCGCACACCACTTGGGACATCATCAGTCATTCTTTACATTTTAAGAGGAAAACCTATCAAGGGTGGGCAGAAAAGAATGCAAGTACACCCACCAGTGGAGCGTTGATGTACGTTGTTGGCTCCGACTCTTGAAAATACGGCCTCGAATCCGGAAATGCATCCGACACATTAATTGGCCCTCCCACCACTGCTCCCACCAATATATTTGGATTCGGGTTTGGACTTAGATAATACCGACTCCCCTCTTTGCACCCGATGCGACCCGGGTGGACCGCCACCGACGGCAATGAGCTGCCCCTGTGATGAATCCTCTCAGGATATCGTGCTCCATACCCAACCATGTAGGACATCCCCAAAGGATTATCTCCCAGAATATAGTCCACCTAAATATATTCCCACAAAACAAAAATCGGTCAGTAGATGAAGCAATTGAAAAAGTGATATCTTCTGTCATTACACTGTAAATTTGATCGATGATTTTGTCTAATTTTACCTGGCGCTGAGCCAAGTGTTTGAGAAGGGCAGGTGAGGCTGATACTTCACCGCACAGCACCACCTTGTTAGCGTGGCTTAGATAATTAGAATAGGCTAGAAGCAGGAAAGACAAGGACGTTACATGTTGCATGTTACTCCCTCCAGCTTTGAAGATTAACCCACCTTTCATAAGAGGAAAAAATGAGGTAAGCTTTCATGATTAGCAGAGATATATGGTTTCTTATGTCAAAATGTTGAATGTGCATTACCAGGAGAGTACTGAACTTGAGGATGGGAAATTCCAGGCAGTAAAGAACAAATAAAACCATCAGCATTTTGCTTGAAAGACTCGAAATAGTCAGCTTTTCCCATCAGCACTTCCTGTCCCACAAGTTTCACACATCACATAATTAATAATGATATTAATACTGCATACTCTTATAATAATAGTGTGCTAAAACCAAGAAATTGACTGTTCATTGGTTGGTTGATCTTAAAAATAGAGAATGTACATGCACTTAAGCTGATGATATAGAATAATATAAAAGGTATTAAATGCATGAATATGACACAATCATGCAACCTATATATTGTTAAGAGAGAAAGGTCGTCAACGGAGTGGTGATCTGATCACCTTTCAAGAAAAAGTTAATGAGTGAGCATGGGAGGTGACCATCGACTCGGCCTTTAGGCACATGCTTGTACCAGTAACTCACTGTTTGGGGACCCACGAGGATCCAGATCTCTTAACTTAGACTTTGATGCCACCTCCACTTCAGCACAAATTTTGGTTTATGATTGAGGAGACAATACATTACTAAAACCCACCCTAAATTCCTTCAACTTAACGTTATTAAAGATCAACCCTAAATTCCTTCAACTTGGGTTGCTGCATGCTCACATGAAAGCCTAACTTTATGCTTACATGCATCATGTGCAAAGATAAGCTATGGTTTTCCCCCTATCACATGATTAGCTGAGTACAAAGTAACTACGGCCATTTTTATAGAATCTTAAAAATTAACAATTAGCTTGTCTTTGCTCCAAAATCCTAGTAATTTTAAAGTAACTTTAGACATAGAAAGGGGTCCCTCAAAACACATGATTAGCCATGTGACACTCGAGACAAATTTTCTTCACCCCAATAAAAGGAAGCCAATCCAATTACATACCCCCAACAAAAAACCAGCAAGACAATAAGAATAAAAACACTGCAGTAGACAAATAAAATAAACAGATAAACCTTATCCAGACTAAACAAAACAAAACATTCGTAACATTGTAATGTTTAAGCCTAAACATATATATAATCAAATGATTAATTAATTCTGTACCTTGGAAATGAGGACGTTAATCCCAGCATGCTTGTTATCCCAACCAAACTCATTGATGGTATCACCGGCTCTCAAGACGACCTCGTTATTCACTATGTACTCTCTATATACACGCTTCCTTGAGGCCTTGTGCAGCCAAGCTGCTGCCCAAAGCAACTCATCCTACAAAATACACTACATGTTTTAGCCTATATTTGATTTAAATCCACATGGACAATTATATCATAATCCAACGGTTCTTAATTATAAGAAAAATAGAAGGAAATTGAAATCTGTAAATGTGAGTCTAACCTGGTAGCCATTAACGTCGCAGTAAAAAGGACAGACAGCAGAGTGCAGACTGATACTATAGGCACCTCGGTGCTGGTCAGCAAAGTTGAACACCTACAGTTCAATACACCATTTTACCCAACTGTTATTAATCCTTTATTTCTCTACAAATCGAACCTTCAAGGCTTCAATTTATCTATCTTATCATTTGGGACGATGGCAGTGTTGACAGGATACTTACCCTAACCGCTCGATTGAGGAGCAACCTCGAGTAAGCAGGGTCACGAGACCTGAACACGATGGAAGCAGCGGCCAACGCGGCGGCGGTTTCACCAGCGACGTCAGAACCAGGATGCGCTTTATCGATTTGGTGCACCGTACGCAGCGTGTCCATGTCCTCCGGCCTTTCCCAGCAACTATGATCGGAGAACGCATCTCCTACTTGTACGTACACCACTCCAGGCTTTGAAGTTGCTTTCAACAGATAATCCGTCGACCACTTTACTGCTTTAACGGCGTTCTTTAGTTCCGGCCCCATGTTTCTCCCGAAATCTATGACACTCCAGGCTAATAATGTCGTCGTGAACGCCATTGGGAACCCGAACTTCACGTTGTCTCCGGCGTCGTAGTAACCTCCCGTTAAGTCCACCTGAAACAGAAACATCAAACCCCGTCAATGATTTAACGAGACTCTTGGTGCAGTAAAAAGGGAAATGTAGTAGATGCAAGTAGTTACGCCGGCAGAAGAACCGTCTCGCAATGCAGAATCGCAGCGCCATTTGACGCGTTGATCTGGCGGGAGTCCGCCTGAGCGTTGGCCTTCGAAAAACAGAATGCTCTTGCGGAGAGCGTCGGAGTAGTCGTGGCCGCCAATGATTGGACGACCAAAGAGGAGCAAAGAAAAAGAAAAGGCAACAAGTGCCGGAAAAATCGCCGAAAGGGTGAGGGATTTTGGCGCCATCATTTTCCTCGGGAGTGTTTGCTGATGGTCTCTCAGTTCCCACTTTAGATCCTAGAGCAGAACCAACGTGGTTTTTAATACTAAAAAAGTTTCGTCGGATTCAGAGATTAAGCCAATGAAGATGCGCCACGTGGATTGAAATGACTGGTCAAAAGTTGGGTTTCCAAGGCTGAACTTGACTGGGTTAATTATCAGATTATTCGGGTCGGGTTGGAATTATGCTTTTGGCACATCTTTTTTCGGGTTTCAGAAAATGATGAGTGGTAGTCAAATTGTAGTGATCAGGGCACATGTGGACGCTGCCTATTAAGCATTGACACGTAGATAACAAGGTAAGTGGGGCCTATTGATGGAAAAGATGATCAGTGATGAAAAGGGAGAGGGGCATGTGCAGCGTCAGATTTATTGACTAAATTCGAGGATTATTGACGAAATGGGCATGTGAGTTTCTGTTGGCTGCTGGCTAGGCGGTGCATTTATATTTAGATTTTTTGTACTTCTATAGCGTCTACTGGTTCCTATAATACCTAGAAATAAAACTAAATACAAGGCTTTTCAAACACTATAGTTATCTCTAATCGATAATTCGTTTATTTTATTTTTTTATTTTTTTATCTTTGTTAATTGATAATGACACTAATTTTAATATTGATTGTCGATAAAGTTGTTGTTTTTACTTTTTTTTCTAAGAGTTAATTAGACATCGTCACGACTAATCAAGATGTCGTTTATCTGTTATATTGTTGATCTTTCCTGCTTTGGACCCTCAGATTAGATTTGGATACTCGTTATGTGTTCGTAAATAACTTTTCACGTCGCTCGAGTCTGATTTACGGTTTGTTAGTGGTCTTTCAGTAGTTTGATCACCTTTTGTGGTTCGTTTGTCGACGCAATCAGATTTGTTTATATCTATCTTTGTTCGAGTTTTATTGGTTATATTTTAATCTTTCCTTGTAGGGTTCTTATGTGATCTTAAGTTGCTAGTTTTGTTTCAATGATTATAGGAAATTATCCTAATTTTGTGCTTAATTTATGATTATGATTGTAAATTTTATTGTAATTTAGGACATTTCTTATTTTGAATAAAATTAGTGATTTATTCAAAAATAAAAAATAAAACTAAATACAATTATGCTATTAAATTATAAAAATTTAATTTTATCATTAAAGTTATTGAATTGGTATTTTTGTTATTGAGTCATTGAATCATTACGATGTAACGATGTGGTTGTTATCCTTTTTTTCTATAGAAAATTGTCGACTTTGGCCATCATTATCGATTAATCTCCGTTTGTCGTCAATTTCTAGTTATAATAAGATTAGTACTAAAATGTTCATATTTCTCCTCTTTATTCTCTTTAAATTGATTTTTCATGAAATTTACTTAAAATCATATGAAGATTCAACCTTTAATGCTTTGATCTCTTATGTTAGTCATTTGATTATGCTAGTTTTGAAATATATTGTTTGTCTTTCTTATAAAGATGTTTCTCACTATTGAAATTTTCAAATGAATACTCCAAACATTTCAAATAGGTGGATTTATAAAGAAGTTTTGAGTTTAATTTCGTGAGTTATAAAGAAGTTTTGAGATAATTTATATTAATAGAGTGGTAGAAGATGATAAAATGAGTTCGTTGATGTTTAGATTAGCCACAAAAGATATTAGAGAATACTATTTCTAACAATGGCTTAAAATGAGGTAAAATATCATAAGTGTTTGATTAAGAAGATGATGAAAAAGAAGAAAAAGTTGTGTTAGCTCGTGTGTGAAAAATAAATAAAAAAATATTTATCATTTTATAAATTAGACTCTTTCTGCTTTTCAAATTTTTTTTATACCCATGAATTTGAATTCTTTTATGCTTTCTAAAACCATTATGGTCATGGTTGTTGAAAACATTTTGATGTTTCGATATAACAAATTAAGTGTTATTTGATTTTATAATCATTTTTGAAGTATATTCGATTACATTATTCGAATATCAAAATATTTCTCCAAGTTTTTCAAATATCAATTTCAATGCTTACTCAAGTTTAAAATTGTGTTTTAATCTCAAAATATTTTTGAAACAAATTTTACAAAGTATTTCGAGCCTTAATCGAGCCAAAAATAATTTTTAAATAGAAGGGCTTCGAGAAAAACAGATTGTCCAGTGGGTACCGATACCCCTATGCCAAATTTGGATCCGAGAAAAACAGAATGCCCTATGGGTATTGATACCCCCTTGGAGGTACCGATACCCCTAGTCATTTAACGGTCGAAATATTTGAATTTTACACTGCAGGTACCGATACCCATTGAAGAGGTACTGATACCCCACGCTCCCAGCAGACTTTTTTAAGAGGGTTTTCACACTACAACGGCTCTAACATCACCCAAATGATTCACAACGACTAGAATCAATCCATGGTGTATTTAAACAAGTTCTGAAGCCATTGATCAATAAGAATTCATTGAGGAACAAGAGAGAAAGCATTAAACATCAAGTTTGTACATTTCAAGCCAATTTTCCTTCAATATTCATTTTGCTTTCAAGAACACATATTGTGCTCATTTGTAATCATCTTTGAGTGTTCTTTTCTTGTTCTAGAATTGTGCAAACACATTGCCTTGTGAGGAATTTTTGTAAGTTTGCAAAATTTGTATTGTTCTCTTTGGGAGAGAGTGTTCTCAAGAATTTGGGGAATAATTCTTGAAGGATTTGTAAGGTTACTCTTTGTCTTCAAAAGAAAGACAAATTAGTGAATTTGTGGAAAATCCTTAGTGTGGATAGCTAAGGTAGTGGACGTAGACTTTGGTTGAGAAAGTCGAACCACTCTAAATCGATGTGCAATTATTTTCTATTTTCTGCAAAAGCTTCCACAAAAATATTTATTTCAAATTCACCCCCTCTTGGCTATTTCGTCGATCGATTAACTCAATAATTGGTATTAAAGCCTCACTCATTTGAAGGTTTAATCGCCTCTTGAGTCGATTTGGAAAGAGTTATATCGATATTCAAGTCATCAATGGCCTCTACTTTAAACTTCAACCTTGGTCTTGATTCAATGCCCGTCAACAAACCTCCTTTCTTCAATGGAGCTAATAATGCTTATTGGTAGAATAGAATGAGGTACTTTTATTCAAGCAAGTGATATGGGAGCATGGAATATCATAGAAGACGGATACTTCATTCCTTCCACTCATTCAACATTATGGAGTGAAACAGAGATAATAATGTTTCAGCTCAACTCAAAGACTATCCATATTATTTTTTGTGCTCTTGTACCAGATGAATACGAGAGAGTTTCATCTTATACAACCGCCAAGGAGATATGGGATAAACTACAAGTCACTCATGAAGGCACTAACGAGGTAAAATAATCCAAAATTAGTCTTCTAACTCATAGCTATGAAAATTTTAGGATGAAACCGAATGAATATATCAAAGCTATGATGGATAAACTTTCCACGATTGTTAATGGTCTCAAATCATATGGAGAGATTCTTCCAAACAAGAAGCTTGTGAGGAAGTTAGTTTACTCTCTTCCAAAATCTTGGCAATCAAAGAAGACGGCGATCGTAGAGGCTAAAAACTTAAAATCTTTAACCCTCAATGAGCTAATTGGTTCTCTCCTCAGGTATGAAATGATGCTTCAAGATGAGGTAGACCTCAAAAAGTCAGATGAGACAAAGAAAGAGATGGAGAAGAAGAAAAACGTTGAAGTTGCTCTCAAATCCACAAAGGATGTGAGTGATTCAGATGAAGATGATGATGACGAGGAAATAGCATTATTTACCAAGCGATTCAGAAAATTAATGAAGCCCAACAGAGGAAGAAAATTCAAACGAAATGAAGGCTTCAAAAATGAACCAAAGGAAAAAGACCTAATCATTTGCTAGGAATACAAAAAACTAGGGCATGTCAAATACGATTGCCCACAATTAAAGAAAAAGGGTCAATCTAAGAAGAAGCATAAGGAACACTTGGTTACATGGAGTGATGATGAAGCCTCTGATGAAGAGGAATAAGAAGTAGCAAACTTGTGTTTGATGGTTTTCAGGGAGGATTCTCAGGGAAAGGGGCATTGCTACAAGGCACGAGAAACAAGTTCAAACTCATGGTACCTTGATAGTGGATGCTCAAGACACATGACCGGAGACAAGAGCCGATTCATAAAGCTTATCGACAAAAAAAGAGGAGATGTGACTTTTGGTGATAATTCAAAAGGTCACATTAAAGGTAGGTACAATAGGTAATACCTCTTCCATACAAATTAAAAATGTTTTGTTTTATATGTGAATGGATTAAAGCATAATCTATTGAGTATTAGTCAATTATGTGATAAGGGATACAATGTCATGTTTGAAACTAATGGTGTAAAGTCATTGATATTGCATCTAATTGGATTATGCTTGTTGGTTATAGAATAAGAAACATTTATATGGTGCATTTAGATTCTATTAATATGACTAATTTATGCCTAGTTGCTAATGATGAGCATGATAGTTGGTTATGACATAGAAGACTAGGACATACAAGCATGAGTGTTTTACAAAGACTAATTTAAGGAAATTTAGTAAGAGGGTTTCCAAAGCTAAAATTTGATAAAGATAAAATCTTTGATGCTTGTGCTAAATGAAAACATCAAAGAGCTTCCTTTAAGTCCAATAATGATGTATCAACTAGTAGAGTATTACAATTGATCCATATATATCTTTTTGGGCCAATTAGGGTTGTTAGCTTGGGTGGAAAATAATATTATTTCATATTGATAGATGACTACTCTAGATATACTTGGGTTCTATTCTTAAGTACTAAATATGAAGCATTAAAACAATTCATCACGTTTTCAAAAGTAATCCAAAATAAAAAGGGTTACTCTATAACAAGTGTTAGGAGTGATCATGGTATTGAATTTGAAAATCTTGGATTTAATGAGTTTTGTAATTCTAATGGTATTAGTCATAATTTTTCAGCACCTAGAACCCCCTCAATAAAATGGAGTTATTGAGAGGAAAAATCAAACTTTAGAAGAAATGATGAGAATCATGCTTTGTGAAAACAATTTGCCAAAATATTTTTGGGCAGAAGCCACAAATATTGCTTGTTATGTTATAAATTGAGTAATGATTAGGCCAATTTTAAAGAAAACTCCATATGAACTTTTCAAAAATAAAAAAACCTAACATTAGTTATTTTCATCCTTTTGGATGTAAATGTTTTATTTTGAACAACGGTAAAGAAAATCTTGGCAAATTTGATGCTAAAAGTGATGAATGATTTTTTCTAGGTTATTCCTTAAATTCTAAAGCTTATCGGGTATTTAATAAAATAACTTTAGTTGTAGAAGAGTCTATACATGTTGTTTTCGATGATAACCCCCTTCCGAGGAAGGATTATTGTGTTGATGATGACGTAGGTATTATAAAAACAAATGATGTTAGACATGACGTTGGAGAACCATCATCAAAGGAAGAAACTAAAGATGAGGAAACTCACGATGTTCTAGAGAATCCGACCATTGAAGAAAGGGAAGTCTCTTACCCAAGAGAATACAACTATGTCAAGAATGATAAGATAATAGGTGATCCATCCAAAGGGGTAACAACTCGATCTTCTTTTAGAAATATATATAATTATGTTGCATTTATTTCATGCATAGAGCCTAAGAATATCAAAGAAGCATTAGATGATGAAAATTGTATTATGGCTATGCAAGAAGAATTAAATCAATTTGAGAGTAGTAAAGTATGAACATTAGTTGAAAGGCCTAGTAATAAATCTACTGTAGGTACTAGATTGGTATTTAGGAATAAGCTTGATGAAAGTGGTAATATAGTGAGGAACAAAGCTAGACTTGTTGCTCAAGGCTATACTCAAGAAGAGGGTATAAACTATGATGAAACATGCGCTCCCGTAGCTGGAATGGAAGCAATTAGAATGTTATTAGCATTTGCATGTTTCAATGAATTTAAATTATATCAAATGAATGTTAAAAGTGCATTTTTAAATGGTTTTATAAAAGAAGAAGTGTATGTGGAACAACCTCCTAGTTTTGAAGATTCAAAATTTCTGAATTATGTTTTTAAATTGACAAAAGCACTTTACGGTTTAAAACAAGCTCCTAGAGCTTGGTATGAAAGATTGTCAAAATTTTTAATTGAAAAAGGTTATTCAAAAGGGAAGGTTGACACTATATTGTTTTTAAAGCATAAAGGTAAAGATTTATTAGTAGTTCAATTTATGTTGATGATATAATATTTGGTTCTACTAATGATGCTCTTTGCCAAGAATTTTCTAAGCTAATGTAGAGTGAATTTGAGATGAGCATGATGGGGGAGCTCTCATTTTTCTTGGGACTCCAAATCAAGCAAAGAAAAGATGGCATCTTCATCAATCAAGCAAAATACGTCAAGGATATGCTCAAGAAATTTAGATTGGAAAATGGGAAACCTCATGCCACTCCAATGAGCTCATCAACAAAGCTTGACAAAGATGAAAGAGGTAAATGTGTGGATGTTAAATTGTATAGGTCAATGATTGGCTCTTTGCTTTATCTAACCGCAAGTAGACCGAACATTATTTTTAGTGTTTGTTTATATGCTAGATTTCAATCATGCCCTAAGGAACACATTTACTAGTTGTTAAGAGAATCTTTAGATACCTTAAGGACACTCCTAGTTTAAGACTTTGGTATCCTAGAGACTCTAGCTTTAGCTTGCATGCATTCTTTGATGTGGATTATGGAGGATGCAAAATAGATAGGAAAAACACCTCTGGTAATAGATAGGAAATATATTGATTTCATGGTTTTCAAAGAAACATCGACCACTGAAGCGGAATACATTTTAGCCGGTAGCTATTGTGCACAAGTTTTATGGATGAAACAACAACTTTTAGATTATGAAATTGAAGTAGGTATCATTCCTATCAAGTGTGACAATACTAGTGTTATTTTTCGCACTAAAAATCCCATCCAACACTCTAGAACTAAGCATATTGAAATTAGACATCATTTCATTAGAGATCATGTCACAAAAGGAGATATAGTTCTAGAATATGTTGATACTTTGCATCAATTAGCGGATATTTTTACAAAACCTTTAGATAAAGAAAGATTTTGGACACTTATGAGAGAATTAGGTTTAACTGACCTATCTTCACTTAGTGTTTAAAATAATTTTAGCACTTTTAATTAAGAATGAAAAATGCTTATAAAAATAACACTTTTGATTGCATTCTTTGCTATTAGTTAAAGGGAGTTTATGATCTTTAGTGAAAATTAATTATATGTTCAAATAAAATTTAAGGATAGATTTGATTGATTGAACATAGTTAATTTTCGTAATATGAGTTGTCAATACCACTAGAGCAAATTAATTTAGAATTTTGAGTGTTTAAATACATATTTTTAACTTTTCTGTGCACTATGTATCGATACCCCTTCAACGTGTATCGATACCCCTTTGAATGTGTATTGATACCCCCATATGAGGGTACCGATACCCCTATCGGGTTCTAGTCTTTAAATTCCAAAAACCTGCTTATTTTTGTCAAAACCCTTAAAAAATACTCAAGCCCGTCGTTCATCTCTCTTTCACCCCTAATATCTACTTTGCCCAAAATCAACGGTTTCAAGTCGGATTTCACTCATTTTTCAACTCCTAATCCTGCTAAAATCGTGCAAAAATCATCACATTCCTCTCAATCTGAAAATTTTCAAGGTATTTTCCTAAAACCACTAGTTTATTGATTTTTGAACTTATGACTAGTTTTGATTAGTTCTAGGTTGAACTATATATCTAGCTTTGATTATATGATGTTTCTAAACTAGATTCTACAACAACTTTCATAAAAAATACAAGATTTGACCAATTTTTTCAAAAGTTCGAAATAAAAAAATATTTTGTTTTGATTTTAAAATTGTTGTCTTTGATTTAATTATGTTGTTTTGAAAACTACATATTGATTTTCAAACATTGTTTTCAAAATTTACCCATTAAGATTTTTTTAGAGAACCTTGAAATATTGAGGACTCATTTGAGTTTTGGGATTGATTATGTTGCATACATATGTTTCAAATTGCAGGTATCTATCCTATTCTGATTTCTTGTGCCATGTCTCAAAAACGTCATAGGTCATCCTCTAGTCGTTCAAGACCACCAATCCCACCTCCAAATCCACCTCCTATTCAACTAAATTCTAATCCCGATGATCCCGAAATGACTATTTGAAACTCGTGCTTTAACAAACCTGGCCGTAGGGATAATATTTACCATAGGTTTGCCTATCTCTTCGAGTCGTATAAAATTCGGGAAGAACGTATTCGTTCTCTTCGAGCTATGGTAGAAATGAACTTTAAATATCTTCCTACCTTACAAGCTTGGAAATTTGATAAACTTTTTCAACTCAAACCAATTGTTTACCAACAACTTGTTCGAATTTTCTATTCCAATGTCGTTTGTATCTAAAATCAAGCTAAAACCGAAACAATATGAATTCGATCCTATCTTCTAGGTCAATTCATTTATATTGACTCGGATTACATTGCTAACACATTTGGTTTAGATAATATCGATTTAGATAATGAAAAAGAAGTAGTAGGTACTCCTTACAAGGTCAAGTCTAGTGTGAGTGTGTTAGATCACCACGATCGTTTTAGAGCTTTAGACCTTTGGTGGATATATTGTATCCAGAATAATAAAAAAAATAAACCTACCTCAAATTATCTTTTCTGAACTCGTTGAAATCGTAAACCTTGTCCCTAATAAGAAAGTTTGTGAAACTCTTATTTACGGCTGTCTTCTGAGTGACCTGTTTATCAAAGCCCAGCTTAGAGTTTGGCTTGATATAGCCATCCCTCTAAAAAACGAAATCAATATGAAATCTTTAAAGAAATCAGGATGGAAGAAGGAAAATGATCAATGGGTTCGATCCCCTGAGAAAACACATGGAGCTAGTTCTTCACGAGCTCCACCTACACCGGCACCAACTGCGGACGATGATCCAGAGCTTCAACAACTTATGCAAGATATCGACGACAAGCCGGTATAGAAAAAAAGTCAAATACCTATATACTTTCAATCGTTAATGGAAATATTGGATATGAGGTTTGTATCTTTAGAGTCCTACTTGACTGCTATGGGGACTCAACTTTTGGAGAATCAACAAGAGATTCGAGCTACCCATAAAGCAATGAATAATCGATTCAATGTTGTGGATGATAGACTCGATGCGCTTACACGAGATGTGGCTAATATATGGGCACATCTATCTCCTCCCGATCCTCCTACAGATGCTTGAACTTCACTTGCTAGTTTTTTCTTAGGTTGAATCAAAATGGATCCTAACATTGTTTTTAAAACATTTTGCTTATTTTTGTTTTGGATTTTGGATGTTTGAAGTGTTTGGATGTTTATTTTGGTTTGAATGATATTTGAATGGTTATTTTAGCTTCAATTTTTATATTTTGCATCATTTAGACACATATGACAAATTACCATTACACATTGTTTATGAATATTGATTATGGACTAATGGCTAATCTTCTCTTGACTTTAATCTTAGCAGCTTACGCTATATCTAAATGTCAATTGGCTTAAATTTTAAATTATTGTTTAAAATCGTTTTTAGAGTCTTTTTGATTTAACAAAAAGGGGGATAAGTGTTATAGTAAGGGGATAAGGGAGTAATTTTTCAAAATTGATTTCAAAAATGGTTTTTGAAAGAAAATCTTAAAATTACTAAAATGTTTTGTTATATCAAAAAGGGGGAGATTGTTGAAAACATTTTGATGTTTCGATATAACGAATTAAGTGTTATTTGATTTTAAGATTGTATAATCATTTTTTAAGTATATTTGATTAAATTATTAATATTACTCCAAGTTTTTCAAATGTCAATTTTTATCCTTACTCAAGTGTAAAATTGTGTTTTAATCTCAAAAAATTTTTGAAACAAAATTTACAAAATATTTCGAGCCTTAATCGAGCCAAAAAAAATTTTTAAATAGAAGGGCTTCGAGAAAAACAGATTGTCCAGTGGGTACCGATACCCCTATGCCAAATTTTGGATCCGAGAAAAACAGAATGCCCTATGGGTACTGATACCCCCTTGGAGGTACCGATACCCCCTTGGAGGTACCGATACCCCTAGTCATTTAACGGTCGAAATATTTGAATTTTACACTGCAGGTACCGATACCTATTGAAGAGGTACCGATACCCCACGCTCCCAGTAGACTTTTTCAAGAGGGTTTTCACACTACAACGGCTCTAACATCACCCAAATGATTCACAACGGCTAGAATCAATCCAATGTGTATTTAAACAAGTTCTGAAGCCACTGATCAATAAGAATTCATTGAGAAACAAGAGAGAAAGCATTAAACATCAAGTTTGTGCATTTCAAGCCAATTTTCCTTCAATATTCATTTTGCTTTCAAGAACACATATT